ACAAAAGTTTTACTCTTATACATGTACATATTGAAAAACCCAAGAGCTTCAGGTGGTTTGCTCCCTGAACTTACTTCATTCAAAGTACGGTATGACCAGTATTAATTATGTTATTCTTTGGTTCATAATAACCAATACCACTATAAAAGTGCCTGGTTTTACTCTTAAAATACACGAAACCCAAAGAGCTTCGGGGGTTGGGTGGGGTGGGGGGTGTACTTCCTTGGCCTCCACCAGGGCTTCGCCCAGGACCCACTGGGACCTTTACGGCGGCCCCAGACCTCTTGCCTAAACAAAGTTATACCTGTCCCCTCCCCAAATCCTGTATCTGAATATGGTTTATAAATGATAAGTCTTTTAGAATCAATAGATCAAGGTACGGTAAGACATAGAAGAAAATAAATAATCTGTCCTTGATAATCATGAAAAAAATAATGTCATTGACAGGCATTAAAATAAATAATCCGTCACAAAAAAAATTGCAAGCCCCCCCCCCCCCCCCCAGGAACAAATTGTCGTTCCCTAATTTGGCACGAAGACACACATAATTCATAAGTTCAATGTAAAACTTTATTGTTTTGAACATATTTTATTGACGAATCAAATGGATTGGAAACAAGTTCTTACAACTTACTAGTTCCTCTCCATAAATATAACAATATGTCATGCAAATAATACATTAAAATATAGTATTTATAATAATTTTCAAGTGATGCAAGTTAATTAATAACATTAATCAATTTTAAATCTACATGTTTCAGTAATAAATCTATGTACAGCAGCAAAAATATTAATATTAGTTGATACAGGTAAATCTATATCACCCCATAATAACAGGTTAGTGTCAATTGTAACTAATTCTTCTAGCATAAATAGGTGGTTAAAAAGATTGTTTCTAGCATTTGCATACTTTATACATGCAAAAAAATAATGGTAAACATCTTCATACTTTCCACATGAACAAAGAGGAATGTTGATAATATTGCGTTAAAATAGATCATAATTCAGTAAACTTTATTCACTTTTCAGAAAACTCAAAGTTTATTGAAGCATTTGCCTCACTTGCCTCAATGCTAGTTACGGCCTTGCTTTCTCTGCTTCAACAGGATTTGTTGTATATATAATTTAAAATGACGCGTAAATGTAAATATACAATGTACACATGATAGGGAAAATTTTCAAAAATATGACTAATTCTTAATTTATTATCAGACGGAATATTAGGAGATTTTTTTTTTCAACAGACAAGGATAAAGCGTGTTATACAATATACCAAGCCTTTTCCCGCTTCATCTCACACCAAAACAAGATAGAAAAGAAATGTGGTGGCGGATCTAGAGAGAGTTTGGGGTTTTAACATCCTCTGAGCGAGAGAGGAGACCCATATAGTTATCACGTTTAATTAAAATTAAACTACAGCTGTATTTCTAGTTAGGTAAATTCAAAAGTTAGTTTAAATGGTTAAATGTAAAATTACTTTAACATCAAACTTCCACCAGAGTTCGTCTGTACCAATTAAACTGAGTGCGGGGACGCAGAGGACTATGACTAATTTGCTATACATTGTTCATCTAGTAATGAACATGTATTATGTACTGAAGAAAATCCTGAAATGCCGCATTCAAATGTTTAGTATCACAGGTATAAATTGATAAACAGATGAATGCAAGAGATTAGTTTCTAATTTTTTCATGAAAGAATCGATTAATTGGTTTGCGGTCGATTTTTGAAGCTTGTGTCAATTTGTTTCTAGTTTGTTATATTCTCATGACTTTGATTCTGCCAATCCACGTGCTCTAAGCCCTACTTCTGTCCAGCTTTTTTTACGAAAGACGAATAGGGCCACATAAAAAAATATTTTTATCTCGTAATTACGAGAAAAGATCTCGTTATTACGAGTTAATTATCTTTACTATTCTGGTATTCTTTCCATTCTCAAAAATTATGTCAGATATTTAAAAGAACAAAATAAAGTAATCATATACACAAGCTTATAGTTTTTATTTATGGTTAACACACAAGATATTTCTTTAAAAAGCTAATTTTTTATTATATCTAGACAATAGGAGTTATTTCAAATAATGTAAATATTTTTTATTGAATTTATTAGTTAACATATGTTTCTGTTTTGTATTTGTTTGTTTGTTGTTGTTGTTGTTTGGGGGTTGTACAATGTATGTATTATCGATTTTCAACTCAGTATTTTGTTTACATGAAATATGAGAATTAAATGAAAAAATGCAATGAAACGCCATTTTTTTTAATGTGGGTAGTTATATCCGGTTGATATTACTTGTGTAATTTGATATTACACTGTGTGTTTTTACGCGGCGTGGCGTCATATAAAGACAATACATGTACGAGATCTTTTCTCATTATAACGAGATAATTAACTCGTAATTACGAGATCTTTTCTCGTTATAACGAGAAAATTAACTCGTTATAACGAGATCTTTTCTCGTTATAACGAGATCTTTTCTCGTAATAACGACATTATCTCGTAATAATGAGATCTTTTCTCGTTATTGCGAGAAACGATCTCGTAATTACGAGATCTTTTCTCGTAATTACGAGAAAAGATCTCGTAATTACGAGATAAAAATATTTTTTTTATGTTGCCCTATTCGTCTTTCGTATATTTGTCCCGCCTTGTACTTGATTTTTTTTTTATTTCGCCTATCGATGAACCAGTAAATTTATGAGGAGATAAAGTACATTAACTATTTGAAACTCTAAATCGGACAAAGGCATTGGAAATGTAAATATTAGTATATGAAATGTATAAACTCTGTAGATCTGTAAATTTGAGCTCTATGTTTTTCTGAAACGAAATGTGTCGTTAAATCGAAGAAAATTTGCATACAAAGAGAAAATTCGAAAATTGACATATTTTTGACCTTCCTGTGAGCTCAAAAAGTGCTGGGAGCTAGTCTGTGCTGTTTTGGAAGTACTGAAAACTTTGCCGAAAATGCCTATAATAGCTAAAAATTCCAACTTCGCTTAATTCTGTTATAAATAAAAATAATATTATGCAGACCAGGATAAGCTCCCAGCCCTTTTCAAAACATACACCATATAAGCAATAAATATTCCAAATGTCAGCTGAAACGAAAAGGTTTATGCCCTTAAACTTTTGATGTAAATCAGGAATCCGCTTATCGTTTTAGCGATAATTTCTACATTCCTTGGCCCTGTGTAGCTTCAATGCTACTTGATAAATTCATATTCTATACAAACTGTATTTACTGAATTATTTTCTTTTAGTTTTAATGATTAGGTTTAAAAAATGAAAAACAATGATATCATATTCATTTTATCATTCTTCTAATTATTAAATCAGTGTATTTAATCCTCTGGATCGATTGTGCTGCGTCATGTCAAGGCTGATGACGTCATATTTTACGAAAGACTTTCTTCTATTACTCGATTGTATTGCTCACAAGATTTTATAAATAATTGAAAAAATAAATAAATTCATATTATTATTTACGCATCATCATGTCGTTACTTAATTTTTTTGTGGCATGTTAAATTTTCATGACGTCATAATTAAACTTCCAATACGATGTACCAGAAATGTGAACTCTGACATTCCTTAACATAGCTGAGAATCTTCTTTTCAAGTATGGCAAAATTATACATGTATGCTGTATTGAAATAATGATATTCTCAAGTTATAGAAAATTCAAATCCACCTCCCCCCCCCCCCCCCCGCAGTAAGTTAGCTTTTCAATACTTAGCTAATTTGTGTTTTTTAACTAGCCAATGTGCTGAGTGAGCAATGTGGCCCACAGACCTTTTGTTTCAGTAAAATTTAGACAAATTAAGTTAATTGTTTATGTATTGATCATGTTTTAAAGTATTTTATTTTTAAATAATTGTTTTAATACATGTATTTCAGATTGGAAAAAAAGAAAGAAGATTTGTAGCATTGTATTAAAGATGCCTGATTAAAAGTATTAATGGATGAATTGGTGTTTTTCTCTTTTCTTTAGAAAAGTTGAAATCAGAGGCAACGCTCATAATTTTAGGTATTTTGTAGAAAGAGCTTATGGGTCCCTTTACCCTTTTAGATATATTCAAATTGAAAAGAAAGTGACACCAAGGATGAAGTCAACATGCAAGTTTAGCTTTCTGCAGTGCTAAAAGGAAACGTGCAACATTGATTAGCTTCAAAGTGTTCTGGTGTACTTTTAGAGAAATGATTATGAATACATGTAGTATCAGTTAAGCTTCTTCTATGCTGCAATAACATGTATTTTTCTGGAAGAATAGGAAGGAAAATTCCAATAATATGCACACAACTTTTATGCATTTTAACGTTAAATAAGTATGAACTAATAAACATTAATTTAACACTTAATGTTAATTTAACATAAAAATAACATCAATTTAACGTTAAATTTCTTAACGTTAAATTCATGTATAAGCTCGATTGACGTTAATTTAACGTTAAATATGTAACGTTAAATTAATGTTATTTTCATGTTAAATTGACGTTAGGCACAATTGCCTGTGTAATGTAGTGAATTTCTGGTGAAACATCATTCTTCGTTATTTTAAAATGCATATTTACGAATCCTATTTCAGTATTCTAAAATCAATAGATATGATTTGTTTATCTTGCCAACATTGCAAGAACATACTACAGTATAGTGACTTACAGGTGTATAACATCATGTATTGAGAAATACAGTTGTACACATAAGGGTGTGTGAGGGTGTCTGTGTCTGTGGTTTTATTATTTTTCTTCTATGCACCTCGATCGATAGAAAATTAAGGGCGTATATTTTTGTCCTGTCTGTTTGTTTGTCTGTTTGTCTTAATTAAGACTTCATTTTTGGTATGCATACTCTACTAATTGTGTTCTTACAAATGATTTCAAGGTCAATCACCTTGTAACCTCGACCGGACCTATATGCTAAATATGCTTTTTTCGAACTTTAATGCCAGGCACATAGTGTTTCACAATGTTTAATTTTCATTACAGTCTGTGTATCATGGATCCTCTTGACCGTGCTCAAATTCTCCTTGTCTGTGACCTGTGTCAGAGAGCTCCATTACAAAGTCATTGCGAACTTTGTCAAATATCCCTGTGTAGAGCCTGTGTAGGGGAGCATTTATGTGATTCTTCAAAAAGACACAAGGTTGTCCCATACAAAAACAGAACAAGAACTCATATAAACCCTAAATGTCCAAACCACACCAATTCATATTGTAAGCTCTACTGTTCAGAATGTGACATTCCTGTCTGTTCTACATGCATTTCTTCTGATGAACATATAGGGCATCGCCTCACAGATATTTTGGACAAATTTAAGTCAACATTAGAAACAATCTCCCCACAAAAATTTATGGCATATATAAAAAAAGGAACTACAGTGGTTCGTCATGCTCGAGGAATCGTGGTAGGATGTGCTGGAGCTGGAAAAACTACACTTTTATATAGACTTCTGGGGAAAAGTCTTGAGGAAATAAAGGAAATAAAATCAACTAGGGGACTTCAAGTCTACGAACACATATTTCTTGTAAAAAATAAAAAATTGATTGGTAAGATCTATTTCAAATTTTATTTATTCACCTATTTTAGCAAACAAATTACTCTTGTAACCGGACGTTATGTTTCTGTGGGATATGGAGATTTATTTGTTAAGATGATTTTTAAAATTATATGTGAGGTAAAAGATGAAAAAACGAATTTTGAAAACTTTTCTTGTAGAAAAACTGCTTCGTGAAAAACATTACGTATTTTGTAGTCAAATGTGGTATGAAGCTCATAATCTTCAAAATTAAATGAAATAGCTATTTTTTCATAAAACTTTTGACTTTGCAGTCCATGATTAAATTCCAGATAATGTTAGCTATTTTGTTTTTGCATTAAACTTAACTGTTGAAACAAGATACTGAAAGTTCTGGGACACGCTAAAATATTAATTTGAAATTCATCATAATTATTTTGAATTTAAGTTTCATATTGTATTTAATTTAAGCAATTTTTTTCAAAGTGTGACAGCACTAGGGCGAACAGAGTTGTTTGATACACAATCAAATGTGATCATGAGTCATGCAAAATCCCTGTTGGATACAAAATACAACAGTGCCCTATGCCTTTTAAAAGAATTTTATATTTTCTTTTCATGTTAAAGGATAAACTTATATACATGAAATTGCACGAAAATATTTCTCATCGTAAATATTTTTCTTTCCCCATCGTCTTGTAGGAATCTGTAAAAGGTAAAATTTGCATATAAATTGCAGTTTATTGGAGGGGACATGGTGTTAATTTGAAATTCATCATAATTATTTTGAATTTTTAACTTTCATATTGTATTTTATTTGATGTTAAATTGCATCTTAAATAATATCTTGAAGAATTTAATGTCCCTAAAATAGTTGACATTAATCGTTTTTACAAAGATCAATAGTTTTAAAACTTAACGACTTTTCAACTTTTTACACATGAAGGATATAGAGATAACGAACATTATCATATAGTCTATTTATAGTCCCTATATAATCTATACAAACGCAAACAGTTCATAACACGACATATTCACCGGATTTTAGGCCGTATTCACCGGAGGGTCAATGCGCCTGCAACGGCATTGTGACGTCACAATCAAAACATCGAACAATTGTAAACAATGGTTGCAACGGCCGGAGCGAGCTAAGTACCTGAGCAGGAAAACAATTTTTCAAACCTATTTCAGGATTATCTTTTAACATTTGGACGTCTTACACATAGCAGAACTCGGAAAGGAAAACACGGAGCTTACAAACAGTAATCTGGAGATTTTTTTTCATTTTCAGCAATGGAAGGTCGCAAATGAAAATGTTGTCATCATGCAGCCTTCAATGTCTTATCTATTCAATTCCCGACTATATAATAAACAATTATGGACTCTTTTGGTGTTGAATGTGGTTTGTTATTCACCAGAAAAATATTCATATTGACCGAGGCGAAGCCAAAAGAGTCCATAATGGTATAGTATTCAATATCCATAAAAACAAAACAAAATAGGAAAATAGCAAACACGGACATCCGAAACATCAGAGGTGGGATCAGGTGCCATGGAGGTGCAAGTGAGCATCCCCTTCTGATCGGTCACCCCCACCGTGAGCTTCTTGTCATGATCGAGAAATAACGGTAAAAACCGTCGTCAATTAAGTGTTTAGATAGAGGATATTCAATGTTTTGTAGTTGAATACGACATTTATTTCACGAGTGGGACAGGATTTTTTTTATATTTTAACGAGTGTGCACATGTTACAACCATGCAAACAAATACTCCCAGGTTCTAGTACGACGATTGGCAAAACGCTTCTATGACAAGGAGGAATTGTAACCGGTTAACAGGAAGTGCTAATGCTAAAAAATGTATATGACTCGCTTCCAATGTTTTTGAATGACTGTGAATGTCTTGAATGTCTGTGATTGCTCCGCTTTCAATTTGTATTAATGAAATTTGAGCTAAATTTATATAATTATCTATTTCACATTACCGTCATAACACAACTGTTTTGAAGAATTATAAATTCACTTTTAAATACTTTATTTTGCACCCATTCTCAATATAAGGGCACAAATGCCTCTCTGATTTTTTGAAAAAATGAAGTTCAAGATAACAATTTTTCTACCAAATACCTTTGAAAGAAGGTATCTGAAGATTTTGCTTCCAGATTTTTTTTCATCAAATTTTAATACATGAAATAATGACAAGACGGTAAAGTAGAGGGTGATTTTATTCAGAAATGTAGCTTGAAATGTACGTTACTCTTTCTTCAATGTCCAAAAAGATATGTCAAAAAAATGTAGTCATTAAAATCACAATTGGAATATCTCATCTTAACACCAGCACATCCTACCAACTCTGTCAACAACATATTTTCTCCGCATACGAACTTGCGTTTGATTTTTCCTTTCAAAAAACAAAGGTTACTTTTTGATCCAGATGTATAAAAACATTTTTTTTTAATATATGCTTTAAATTCTTCTCTCTGTTTTGTTAAGAGCGATCAGTTTGGAATCTTGTCATTTTCTATAGATACTGGAGCAACATGTACATATAGTAAAATTCTATTTTGTAGTTACTGTCTTTTTTAACATATATCCATGCCGATTTAGAAAACTACGTAAATGTAACGTACATTTCAAGATAAATTTCTGTTTAATAAAAAGCTTAAAATTCATCTAAAATTCATCGTTGTGTTTCAGTTTATTCCAAAAAAGATTCTCTGTGTAATCACATTGTGTTATATGTCACAATCACCACTTTAAAGACACGATTGCCCTAGAATATGAGTAGGTAACGTACATTTCAAGCTTCTAATGATATGTAAATTAGAAATAAGAAGATATTGAGAAAAAAAGCAATTATTGACATAAAAATCATTTCAATGAAGCGTTTTAACGCAGTAATATAAGAAATCATAATGTAACAAACGAGGTTATTGTCATCAAGTACATGAATGTCACGTAACTTCGGTAACGTTCATTTCACATCTTATTGGGGAGTCCCCTCCGCCTCAGTACATTACCATTCTTTTGTGCTGTTTCCCTGAAATTGACACCGGTCGTAGCCTAGTTACTTCTACCTGTGTGCAAGGGTACAGACAAAAAAAAATAAGAGTCAGACGTATTTTGCTATGATCTAACAAATGCTCGTATTGGGCCATTGAAATATAACATAAATCTATTCCGAATACATCCATCAATAGTCTTGTTAACAATTTCATTTATTATGTTGTAACATCGTTTGTCAAAACACAAACATACGTGCTTTTCAGCAGATCTGGAAAAATATAACCCAAAATGCAATGATTAAAAAAAAACTGAGTATTGTGTGCCTTTCAGTATTTGAAATGTACGTGACCGTCTTGTGTTCTGGGTTTATTTGTTTTGTTTCTTTTTCTTCCTTTTTTTTTGTTTTTGTTTTGTTTTGTTTTGTTTTTTTACCAATTATAAGCCTATGCATACCTCGTCTTAAATTATCAACAACAATTAAATTAATATTGACGAAAAGTCGCATATTGAAAGTAAAATAAATGCAAAAAGGTTGCCAAAGATGAATTTAAGACACTTAAAAATAAATTTTTCTAGCATGTGGTAACAGTCTACCACATTTACGAGGATTGTGGATTCATTTAGATGGATTTATGTGGTCAGTTGTCAAATGAATTGTAACGATAATTTTGTTTTGCTCGTGTAAACGCAATTCATTGACTAAATTAAAAAAAATGTCAGTTAGAAATATGCAAAATGTACGTTTCCATACGTAACGTACATTTCAAATATAAAAATCAATTCTCTTCCACAAGCGTACGTTAGACACGCAATATATTGATACTATTTGAACTTGCATATCATAAGAAGTGCATCATACAGGTTTCGTATTCAGAAATATATACCAGGTATCAAAATTATATTACATATAATTGACCTTAATATATTTTTTCCTCAGCAGAGACGTTTCTTTTCATTAATTTTGGGATTTAGCCCACCTTCAACCTTTGAAAATTTCCTTTGTGTACACATTCGAGTGTGTGAAAGTATGAGAATACATGAAAATTCGTGGGAGATTCACTTAATTCGAATGTCATGGTAACGTACATTTCAGTAACGTACATTTCAAATGATCACTTTTCATGTAAAAAATAATTTTTAATTGTGTTGAGCAAAATGTCTTTGCCAGTTTACAGGATACAAGGGGTTGCTTATTCAGAGTCGTCTCATATTTTCTACTTAATATATATTCTTAATGGAAGAATATAGGTAACGTACATTTCTTTCTTATCTCTACGATTGTTTATGTCTTTCATTCCGTAAACATATTTATAAAAGTTGCTCAAATTGTTCAATTTCATTTTCCATTATCTAAGTAGGAGTAATAAATCCTTTGAAATTTAAAATTAAGCCCATCAATAAATAAAGGAGAACAAAAGTATCAGGTGTATAATCTTTGTGTTTGCTTGTAATGTGGTTGAAATAGAATTAAGCGACAGGGACATTGCATAATAAAAATTATTTATTATCACAAAGAAAATGTATTTATTGTTGTGAAAAGAAATATATATGATACAAGGTTTAACTTATCAGAATTTTTTTTCTTGAGAATCAAAACTGTATATTACACAGAGGGTATTCAGCATAATATTTGCCTCGGCGACAGTAACATACATTTCAAATAGGCTACTATATTTGAATTTGGAACTCCTTAAATACCCTTTCAGATCGATAATTATATGAATTCTTATTCATGGTTATATGACTATTTATAATGTTGATTTAAAAATTACATCAGTGGTATTTCTTCTAAATGAAAATGAGGAGACATTATTTGAGCCCCTATATTGAGAAAAAGTGTTTATATATACTTTTAATATCTCATTTGTTTGCTTTTTGTTGGTGCTGTTTTTTGCCATTAATAAATTGTAGCTTCCGGAGATGGTGCCTTAAATAAACGACTGATCAGGATTACAATGTCCGCACTTCAAACGATGGAACAAAGTGATGAAAATAAATCAATGAATAACCCAATACCAAACACTACACTTGGTCGAAATAAAAATGAAACAGATGATCTACAACTGACACAAGCTGAAATGAGAGAAATGCTGGATGCACAAGAAAATGAAACAAGTGTCAGCATGTTTGATTTTGCTGGACAATTTGCTTACTATGCTTGCCATCAGATCTACATAAGATCCGAAGCCTTTTACATTCTGGTGATGGACATGAGTAAAGCTTTCAAAGATGTCGTTAATAGCGAATCAGAAGCACGTCCGGGCTCTATCTTCTCTAAGTGGACATACAAAGGTTTGGTTTTGATTTTAAAAAAATATGCAAAATACGTCATGCTCTACGTATGAGCAATTTCTAAAACGAGGTAAATTATTGACAAGCAAGTTGATGAAACTAGATTATCAGTAGTCTCGTTTAAAGTTATCATTTCGTATGTTCTATGCTCGATAGAATGACCTTGTCAGAAAATACAATTTATCGTTAAGTCATATGCTGACTGACTTTTTTCATACCAATTGTTAGTCCATTATTTATACGCTGACTGACTGACGGATTTTCCCGTTTTTTAACGATCAGTACAAGGAGCAGACGATGGATGTGAACGGGGGGTAAAGGCGACAAAATTGCGATTTGTATTAATATCATGTAATATATAGAAAAATAAATTATTCTGGGGTTCAATATAAATGACAGAGAGACTTCTTTTATTTTTTTTTAAACTGAAGATAATCCTTGCATATTTAAGTCCGCAATAAAAAGAGTGTGTATAAATACTTCAACATGTTCAAAGAAAAAGACTAAAATCGTTTACTTTTAGTTGCAGTGTAAACTATGTTTGCTTTTTTAAACTCACAAATTGAAATAAAACAGGATAAAATTTGTGAATATGTACCAAACAATTAATCCCTCAAAACTGATTAGGTTCCAAAGTTGTTTATTAATTTATATATTAAAAAAAAATATAGAAATGCCAGCTTTCAATGCATAGTCTATAGAGCTACCAGGTAAGCAAAATCAGCGAAACTTTTTAGCGCAATTTGACGTCATTATAACTGTGACGTTATTGTGTTAAATTGTGACGGCAGTTAAAACGTATGCGCAGATCAAGTAGATCGGGCCTCGTTAATCATTAAAATATATGCAAATAAATAAAAGAAAATTACTACGACGTTTTCTTCTATGCTCTGCTGTTTACGTTTGCTTATCAACACACCTCATAAAATCTCGAATCTGAATTAATGTGAAGCAAAGAAGCGTGCAAGGATGCTCTGGAAGGCATAATGATGAGTTCTTTTGTTTATTATAACTTCTTATAATGTTGTATAACTATATTTTTTTCATGATTTATTTCCTTCAAGATATGTAGTTAATTTTTGTAATTTGTGACATAAAAAAATCTAATTCAAAGGTGCTATAAAAATTGCATCAAATGATGTACAAGCAACTAATTTTATGGGCTCACAGAGAATGCTTACTTCTATTAGAAATCTCAAGCCGTTGAAATCTCTGGAGCCAAGGTCGTATGATTTTTAGCTCTACCGGTCAGAGACCAGAAGAGTTTGCGCGATAGTAAGGTGTCCGTCCGTTTGTCTGTAAACAATTTTCAAGAAGCTACTTCGCCTACAGTTTTACTCTGATTTCAGTATACATGTAACTTTTCACACAAGTACATTACAATTCAATGCATAATTTACTGCATTGGTTTTTTTTATTCCTCGAACAGTGTTGCGATGGTTACTAAAAATATACATTTCTGTGAAATTCCTTCAAAATGTTACTCCTATAGCAATTTTAGTCTGATATCAATATAACTTCGCATACAAGTAGACTACTCTAAGAAACATAATTTAGTGCATCAGTTTTTTTTTTATTTAATTGAACGGTGTTGCCATGGTTATTAGAAAAGATTTTTTTTCAATATTTTTAAGACGTTACTCCTCCTACAGTTATGATTAAGTTTCGATATAATTTGGCACACACGTAGACTACAATAAGATATATGATACTATTTATTGCTGCCTATTTCAAAATTTCAAATCAAAGTGCTACTTTTCTTTTGTTAAACGTACATACCAGTATAGCTGCAGTCTCATGAGAGACTTCTGGTTTTGTAATTTTTTGTAGGGGGTTGTTACTTTTTTCGACCAATGTCTTTTTTGTTTTGTTTTTTAGACAAAGTATGTTATCTTCATCTTATTCATTCCATTTACATGCATCTCATGTCGAAATTCAGGTTAAGGCGAAACTAAATCCTTAGGCCCTGTTAAAACAAATAGGAAAGAAATATTCATTCAAAATATGTAGACTCATAATAAACAACAAATGCATTGCAAAGCGAGCAAATCCAACAAGAAAAAATATTTTATTTTACTTTATTCTAAAGATAAAATATTTTATATTCCAGCAAATTCGAGACACACTAATGAAGGATGAACGAATGGATATAACAAACAGTATTTAATATCAAATTCCATAAAACAATACAAAATAGGAGCAAAGCAAATATGGACCTCCGAAACATTAAAGTGTGATCAGGTGCCAAGGAAGAGTAAGCAGCCCCAACCATCGCAAACACAGGCGCGATTCTACATCTGCATTTCACAGAGTTTTGAAATGAAATATACAAAATTGTCTTTAAATTAATCATATGGAGATAACGAACAGTAGTCATGCTCAAAAGTCCATAAAACAAGTCCTAATTCTAGACACATTATTTAACCAATCTGTACATTTTATCCGCCTCCCAAAAAATGATAGTCGTGTCTACAAACGATAAAATCTCTTGATTTGAATTTTGGTCAACCAAATAGACAATATAAATCAAGTTAGATTATCACCTGTAGAGACGACTATAAAGGTTCGAATGGTGGATAAAATATTCAGGTTAGTTAAATAATATATCTAGAATTGGGAGTGAAAATAAGCTGTTTGACCAATGCTGTAAAAAGGAGGAATTTTCTCTAACAGTGCGCCAAAAATCTTTCGCCGTAAATCGCACATTTTTGCATTACAGGATATGTAGCATTATGATAAGCGACTAATATATAAAACCTTTGTTACAACGCACTTTGAAAAAATTACGCACTTTGAAAAAATTTTTCAAAGTGCGTTAAAATTTGGGACCAAGCTAATTATAACGCACTTTGATAAAATATTTTTTTTCAAAGTCCGTTAATATCGACCATATTAACGCACTTTGAAAAAAAATGTAAAGATTGATCAATATTTCTTCGAATAATCGGTATGATAAATAATAGATCCTGGTTTGATAACTTTTTAATGATAAAGTCACTGTAGGACCTGAGATATTGACGTTTTAAATATTTAAGGTTTTGATAAAATAAAAGGGAAAAAAGGGTCTTGAACAAAAAGAGTGACGATTATTTGAGTTCATTAATTCGTTTCTTCTTTTTTTTTTACTCTAGTCTTTGATAAGTAGATGTACAGGTGTATAGGGGGGACTAACAGAGGACAGCTTCAAGCAACTTAGCATTTATCATAATAAAAAGGGGCCAATTTGATTTGTTCAAAGCTATGAAAATTCTTTCTCTCTCATAAGTTTTACTGTACTTAAAAATTTGTAGTATTCATCTGTTTCAATTAACTCATTTAATATTGAAAGTTTTAAACGTCATACCAGTTAGGTAAATACATAATTATATGAATGCTTTGAGTATAGCATAGGCATCGAGACTGGGCGATGGGCCAGGAGAAGGGATGGGGGTTTAACCCCCCCCCCCCCCACTTATTTTGAAAATATATATACATCGTATAAGCATTGAAAATGCAGCGTACCCTTTTTAGGTTTATTGCTCCCCTCCCCCGTTTGTTACCGACACCTATGTATTGGAAAGATAAAGATTTGGACTTAGGGATCTTATACCCGTCTTCTCCTCTTTTCGACGGGACTAAATCTATTCATTTTTGAGGTTAGGGTTAGGCTTAGTTTTTTGAAAGAAAATAATAAATAAAATCTTTCCATGACTAAAATATGATTTTTTTTTCAAAGTGCGTTAAGTGTATCCATGGTTTTATATATTGATGTAGACTTTAAACGCACTTTGAATTTTTTTTTTTAAAGTGCCTTGACTTGGTCCAAAATTTAACGCACTTTGAATTTTTTTTTTCAAAGTGCGTTGATTTTGTCCCAATTTTAACGCACTTTAAAAATTTTTTCAAAGTGCGTAATTTTTTCAAAGTGCGTTGCCACAAACCTTAACGCTACTTTTCTGCAGCTAGTCCCGACACAGTAAAATTTTCTCCATGACACTCACCATACGACTGAAGAAAGAAAGACAAATATTTTTTTTCCACACTTCCATGTAACGGTTATTTGGTGATAGAATTATAAAGACATTATAATATTGGTTAGAAAATATTTAAATATGTCTCAGGCTCTTCTATACAGCCGCTATTCTAAAGGTTTTTTCTTGTAATTCGATAATTCGATCAAGAAAACTGACAAAATTCACGGCAAATTTACTTTCAAAAAGGGTAAGTAAGTTCGACTTTACCGACCAGAATTTTTTTTTTACTTTTACATGTGTAAATATGTACAACCATATTTGTCTAACTAATTAATGATTTAAAAGTATCGTGCATGTATTCTTTTGTAATTATAATGAATAGTGATTCAGCTTTGAATTTGATCGCGAAAATACCGTGAAATTTAAGTTCTTCTCGTAAACTCCGCAACACAGTAAAATTTCAAAGAGTGGAGAACCCTCCGTATAAAGTTTTAATGAATGTATAAATGATTGATTTCTTTTTCATTAAGGTATTTGTTTTAGTCCGTTGATCTCTTGTTAGTTCTTCTAATAGAAAAGTTGAAGTCTTGTACGTCGTTTTGATATATTGACATTTTAACATTTATTAATGCAAATTACTTACAGCAAATATTGTTTTTTGTACCTAGATTATCTTGACTTCTGGCTTGACTCCATAAAATCGTTTAGTGGTCCGTCTGCTCAAGTTCTTGTGGTGGCTACGCATACAGAAGGCAAGACAAAAGAGGTATTTTACAGAAATTGTGTGACAGATTCCTAATTAGTAGACTGCAGTATTTTTTAGCTCACCTGAGCCTAAGGCTCAAGTGAGCTTTTCTGATCACATTTTGTCCGGCATCCGTCTGTCTGTAAACTTTTCACATTTTTTACTTCTTCTTAAGAACCACTGGGCCAATTTCAACCAAACTTACCACAAACCATCTTTGGGTGAAGGGGATTCGAGTTTTTTCAAATGAAGGGCCACGCCCTCATTCAAGGGGAGATAATTGAGAATTAGTAAAAATTTGGTGGTATGTTTTAAAAATCTTCTACTCAAGAACCACGGTGCCAGGAAAGATAAAATGTATAGGGAATCATCTTCAGGTAGTGTAGAATTAAGTGTCTTCAAATCAAATCCCCCTGAGGTAGGGCGGGGCCACAATGGCTGACCAAAGTTTTATATAGAAATATAAAGGGAAATTCTTTAAAAATATTTTCTCAAGAACATCAGAGCCATAATTGCTCATATTTATATGTAAGCATCCCAAGGTATTGCAGATTCAAGTTTATTCAAATCATGACCCCTGGGGGTACGGCGGGGCCACAATGGCCAACCACATTTTTATAAAGAAAGATAGAGGAAAATTCTTTAAAAATCCTCTTATCAAGAACAGCAAAGTCATAATAGCTCATATTTATATGGAAGCATCCCTAGGTAGTGTAAACTCAATTTTGTTCAAATCATGACTCCGGGGTTAAGGCGGGGCCACAATGGCGGACCAAAATTTTATATAGAAATATATAGGATTTTTTAAAAATAATCTTGTTAAGTACAGCAAAGCCATAATCGCTCATATTCATATGGAAGTATCTCAGGTAATTGTAGATTCAAGTTTGTTCAAATCTTAACCCCCGGGGTAGGGCAGGGCCAAAATGGCCGACCAAAGTTTTATATATAAATATATAGGAAAACTCTTTATAAATCTTTTAAAGAATAGCAAATCCATAATTGCTCATATTTATATGGATGCATCCTTAGGTAATGTAGATTCAAGTTTGTTCAAATCATGACATCCGGGGGTAGGGCGAGGCCAAACTTTTGGATATAAACTTTTAAATAGTAAACCGATATCTACTTTTCTAGCCACAATGCTCCGGTGAGCGATGTGGCCCATGGGACTTTTGTGTTTATATATTACACTAAAAACAGTATCACTCGATAAAAACCTTCTTTTTACACTATTAATGATTATTAAAGTTGGAGATGGAATTCAATCATTTGAGCATCCTGCTTGATTCTAATCATTAAACCGTTTCAATCACAAGTACGCAAATGAATTCTATACTCTATGACTCTTGTAGTTGTACTGAAAAGAATTTTGGAGAGGTGTTTCTTGACTCATTCACTATAGTTCGACTAATCATTGATCGTCTTGCAAAGCTTAGTCACTTAATAATTCAGTTGTTAAGTAAACGTTTTTTGTCTTTTTTTCCAGGGACTTATTTACTTTGCTTTGTCTTTACATTTTTTTTTACAAATAGAAATTTATGAAATTATAAAATTTTTAAACTAGGAGAGGGAATCTTTTTTGGAGAGTCTCTGGACGTTAGTACCACCTGAAGATAAGACCAGGCTTTATGACAGGGACTTTGCATTAGCACTAATCGAGATGAATGAAGATGGGAGACACGCCCTGCGAAGTCTTAAAGAATCAATTGCTGGGGTAGTCTCGAAAAAAATGGATACAAAAATAGAAGTCCCATCAGCATGGGCTCTTCTTGAGCATTTCTTACACCTAACAGAAAAACCAATCTTGTCACTAAGTGACATCACCAAAGTGAATAAGAAACTTCCAGAAGAATATCAATTGAAAAGTCAAGAAGAAATATTTGATTTTCTGTCTTTTTTCCATGGACATGGTATGTTGCTCTTTTTTAAGGAGGAAGGACTGAAATCGTATGCAATTCTAAACATCCAATGGTTTTCCAATGCATTCAGTAAGCTTATTGCTGACAAGGATCACATAAACAGGGACTGCAAACGACGATACATTGAAGATTGGAACCGTTTTAATGCCACAGGAAATCTCAGGAAATCACTGGTAGATGCACTGTGGAAAGAAGAATCTTTATATATAGAACACAAGGCAATACTTATGTCATTCATGGAGAAATTACGGATGTTAGTCAGCATTGAAGGAGAATCCTCCTGGTATGTCCCCTGCATGAACCAAAAGCCTTTCACACACGACGTCTTTCAACAGACAATAGAGAAATCGTCCATTCTGTGTTTTCGATTCACTTCCTTTGCCATGTTTGTCTACTACAGGCTAATTGCATATTGCATGAGTTTCCTGAAGTGGAATGTACAGTTTGATAAGGACAAAAGTCAATGTCTGTATCAAACAGCAGCGATTTTCGAAACCGAAAATCACACAGTTATCGTTGGTATAATCGATAAAGACATCCAGCTGCAGGTGCTGCGAATTTATGATCCACAACGCTCGGTTTCCTGCAAAATTGGAAAATCCATTCAAACAGCCTTAACAGAATTGACAGAAACATTGAATGAGAAGAAAACCTTTCAGAAAGGTTACAAATGCCTTAATCTTTTCTGCAGTGAAAAGGATCTAACTTTTATTCCTGAGGAAGAACTTTCTGGAAGTCAATGCAATTGTCCTATAGGCAGTGGAAAACATAAGATAGATGTTCAATGGACTTTGGGATTTTGGAAAGATGTAGGTATATTTATAGGAGCTCAAATGGTGAAATGACCAGAAGTAAGCTCTTCGTCTGTCTTTAAATAGTTTTCTAAACTTACTCGACCTAAAGTTTCGGTATGATTTCAAGACTTGTGTATAATCAAATTAAATTAAGGATACATAACAAAAGATTATGTGCTAAGCGACCCCTGGGTAGGGTGATAAGTAATAAATATCCTAATTTTAGACTAAATTTTACATAAACTCAATCCTTGGAACAACACTGATAACGAAATAGTAGAAAATGTATATATATATATATATATATATATATATATATATATATATATATATATATATATATATATATATATATATATATATATATATATATATATATATGTAGGACTCCAAAGTGCGACGGGACTCCAAAGTCCGATGGTCACGCCAAATTCCGATGGTCTGCGCCAATCCCCGATGGTTTGACACGCCAAACCCCGATGGTGCTGAAAACAATTTACGTTTATGACGTCATAATACTAATGCGGCAAACTACAATGCCGCACCACGCCAAAATTTTAAATGAGCATTGATAATTATCATGATGCAAAAACTAACCCTTATCTCTCGGATAGGTACTAACCTAACCCTAATCGCTCGAAAAGTGTGTAGGCCTAACAACTATATAGATACTTATATATCTTGGGTGGGTGCGATACTAACCCTAATAACTAGTGTGCGAGGACTAACCCTAAATCAATAAAACTAAAAGGACTAACCCTTATCAGTTGAGTGGTGTGCGAGGACTAATCCTAGTATCTCTGAAACATTTAAGCAATACACAAAATGAATAAAAGCGTATGCAAGGATAAATTCGGAAATAATGGCATTTGAATGCAGGAAAACGGCGTCAAGGATTGACGTCGAGTCATTGTGACGTCATAAACGTCGATTGTTTCTCCACATCATCGGACTTTGGCGTGTCAGACCATCGCACTTTAGCGTAGCGTGTCTCATAGGAAACGAGCCACCGGACTTTGGCGTGACCATCGGACTTTGGAGTCCGTACCGACAACGAACCATCGGGGTTTGGCGCAGACCATCGGGGTTTGGCGAAACCATCGGACTTTGGCGTCACCATCGGACCTTGGAGTCTTACATCTATATCTTAATTTTAGGTAGAGCTACAGTACCGATCGCACACAACCTTACACTGTACACTTCGTTTGTCTTTATTTCGTATTAAAGTATTGTAGTATTGTATTATACTTAATTTTCTAGTTTGTGCACTATTCACAAAATGTGAAACTTTAAAGAAATTAAACGACTAAAGCCGTGTTATGTATTTTTACTGAAAAATATATGGTGACCCTTTCACGTGAAATAAATTATTCGGATTCCTAACAGTTAAAGAGTACAGTATTAGCGAGTCATAATAGTATATATCTGCCATGATAGAATACCAACGTTATTATACAGAAAAAAAACAAAATAAGATTAAATAAATACCCACGGGAAAACAGGTTGAAGATAGCTAATTGAAGGTGAGTATCTCTTTTTTATGTCAATTTAGCATGGGCAGTTTTATTCAAAAACACCGGAAATCTTTTGGTTGCATTTTAATCGATACAAGATATGCTGTTTAGCCTTTATTTTATGCATTTGTTTGAAAATTAGAGTCATGTGAACAGAATTTTCTTTTTTTTTGGGGGGGGGGGGTAAAATAAAAGTCAAATGTATACATCTTTTCATGAGCTTATAATACATTGAATTTCTCAATATAGATCGATGTATAGTTATATTGAAATATGAATTACATAGTCAAGTTTTCACATTTCTTATAGTTTTTACGTTTATGAACATGTTAATGAACAAACTAAAATAATGGAGTGTTCAATTGCGCCTTGGAAACTCTTGTCTTACTTTTTGGGAATTTAATTCCTCATCAGACATTAAAATATCATAAATATTGTAGCCACTTCCTTTCTTAATCATACTATTTGATAGACATGGTAAATTTTACCTCTTTACCTTCTATATTTTCTTTTATATCGTTAATGTTTTTTATGTTAATAATTGTCACTACTTTTTACAGTGTGGAAGAAATCTTGAGGGTCGTGATAGATTTGCAAAACTGGGAATGGCGATAATCGATGTTTTAACACAGGCCCTCAGAGACGTTTTAGAAAAAGAGATTCCCTCTACACATATTAATGGAAAAGTGACATCATCACAATTACCAAAAGGTCTTAAAGGTCCAAATCCTGTACAAAAGAAAATTTTGAACGATGCGAAAACGTACGGATATCAGAAGTTTGACATTACACTTTTGTACTTGTTGATAAGAAATTATTGCAGTACAATCCCTCAGCCCACAAATAACTGGGGTTTAAAGGCCATGCCTGGAGTAGGGGAGACAACTGTTGGTGATGACGTGGAGAGGATCCGACTGATTCGAAACCAAGTGTACAGTCACGTGAGTTCAGCCTCTGCCTCACAGACAGAATTTGATGATAACTGGTCAATCATTTATGATATCTCTAAACGACTTGAAGTCTGTACAGGAAAAAGTTACTTGAGTAAACTGGATGAAATAAAGAAACTTTCCTTGGAAAAGGATAGACAAGAGGCAATTATAAAGGAAGTTAAAGTCGTATGTGAGCGTGACCCAGAAATACTCGAGAGAATGCAATCAATTGAAACTGGTATACAGTCTATACAGAGAGATTTGCAAGAAATAAAATTAGATAAGCCTCGCGGGAGAAAAGGTATTCATATATTTTCATATACCTGGGATTTTTTTGCTAACAGTTAAACACTAATAATTTAATTTTACTTATAACACGTCATTTGATTGGATAAAATTTTTTATTTATTTTGTATAACATAACTGGCCTACGTCACAATGAGTTACGTCAAAAAACGAGTTAGTCCGCTTGACGTTAATTTTTTAAAATTTAATCAATGTGAAGCCTTGTTCTGGGGGAAAATTGTCTCACTGTCTGCACTGAAATTAAATTACAAGGAATGTAGCTTATTTCAACTTAAATTATATGAAATAAAAAAAACTTGGGACAGTTTACGCTTTTTTTATAAACCTCTTAATATAAGTTGAAATAAGCTTCATTCTTTAAATGTAAATGTACCGAAATAAGAATATCTTAACCAGACCGACGCACTGATAAGGGAGTTATTTTTCCAAGTAAAAATTATTATCATTACTCACATTTTTTTTCTTACCAGATTTCCATTTAGAGCAATATACAATGGAATTATCGTTATTTCCTTATCTTATTTTTCAGAAGAAGAAGAGGCCTGGTGGCCTAGATGGTGTGGAATCTTGTAAATATAAATATTTGCTTTCAAATGACCGAAGAAGGATATTACAGATATGACACTGTATTGAGAAAAACTTATTTTATAGAATGTTACCAAATATTCATTTTAGAGCAAACATATATTTTTTTTTTCTTTTAGATATCTAAAGTTTGTACATGTAAATATAATGTTTTCATCTTACTTTTATTCAGAAATATTAACTAAACTGTCATGTAATATGCATACATGTTGAATACCGTTAGCTGTATATGCTGAAATTGCCAGACATGACCTCCTGTGATTCAGAGTCAATGTTCTAAGTGTCTGCTGAATGAAATGATTCTGAGTCATTATCAGTAAAAAAAATTACTTAATTGTACTGAAAACAAGTAAATGAAATACTTAATCTAATTAAATTTAAGTAAAAACGTTTGTCACCATAGCAATCATGGAAAGTAACTTATTGTCCCCCGCTTTTCCGATCTGACCAATAACTTTGACCATTCGACCTTGGAGATTTACATACTTATGAAAAAAACTTTAACCCTGACCATAACTTTTGAACGGTAAGGGGTAGGGCTTTCGTACTTCACTTACATAATCCTTATGAGAAGACTTTTTGGAAACCAACAACTTTGACCCTTTGACCTTGAACTTGGAGTTTGAAGTACTTTTTTAAAAATCTAAACCTTGGTCACAACTTTTGAACGGTAGATACAGGGGCTTTCATATTTCACATATGTATTCTTTGTGGCAATTCTTTTCATTGGATACCAACAACTGTGACTTGTTGACCTTGACCTTGGAGATTCACGTACTTATAAAAATACTTTAACCTTGACCATAACATTTGAATGGAAAGGTCTAGGGCTTTCGTACATTTCTCAAGAAACCAATATCTCAGACCCTTTCACCTTAGAGTTTGACCTACCTTTCAAAAATTTATCCTCGACTATAACTTTTGAACAGGTGGTGCTAGGGATTTTGCATTTCACAATCGTATTTCTTGTGAGAAAAACCCTACTTTGAGAAATTATGTATTTAATTTGCATTTAAGAAAACTTGCATCTTCGTTATGTTGCCATTCGGGGTCATCAGTGTATCACAAACACATCTTGTTCCCTATATTGAGAGGAGATAGGGCTTTCATATATGACATGTGCATTATCTGTGACAGGATACATGTAATTCCGAGCATGCTATGATTTTTGCCCCTTGACCTTGACATTCATGATTGACCTTATTTTTTTTAAGTCTACTTCAATGATACTTTCTAAATAAATGACATATGAGGGTGTTCATATTAGACGTAATATGTCATAAAAAATAACATATCACCCACAAAGTCACCGAAAGCGGGGGACCACAATTCTTTGAATTCGCTTGTTTCACTTAAAATAAATAATAAATATCACAAGCGAACTCAAAGAATTGTGGTCCCCCGCTTTCGGTGTCTTTTTGGGTGAGATGTCATTTTTTATATCATTTTGTGTCTAATATTACCGCCCTATCATAAGTCATCTATTAAGAAATTATCACTGAACTCCAATGTCAAGGTCAAAGGGTTAACGTTCTTGGTATCCAATGAAAAGTCTTCTCAAAAGGATTACATATGTGAAGTATGAAAGATTTAACCATTCAAAAATTATGGTCAAGGTTAAAGTTTTCTCATCAGTACAAAAAAGCTCCAAGATCAAAGATAAAAGGTCAAGGTTGTTGGTATCAAATGAAGAGTCTTGCCAGAAAGAATGCATATGTGAAATATAAAAGTCCTGGTATCTACTGTTCAAAAGTTGTTGCCAAGGTCAAAGTTTTTGAAAAGTTGATCAAACTCCAAGGTCAAAGTACAAGGCGAAAAGTTCTTGGTATTCGATGAAAGGTCTTCTCACAAGAATCATATATCTGAAATATGAAAACCCTAGCCCTTACCATTCAAAAGTTATGGTCAAGGTCAAAGTTTTTCCATAAGTACGGAAATCTCAAAGGTCAAGGTCAAAAGGTCAAAGTTGTTGGTATTCAATAAAAAGGTCTTGCTACAAAGAATACAAATATGAAAAATGAAAGTCCTAGTACCTACCATTCAAAAGTAATGGCCAAAGTAACAGTTTAGAATTTTTGTGTGAAAATGGTTCAGACTCCAAAGTCAAGGTCAAAAGGTCAAATTTGGTGGTACTAAAGAAAGGGTTTTGTCAGAATGATCTTAGAAACATCGGAACAATTGCAATGAAATTATTGATGTTAGACCATGAACATTTAGACAAGATCAAATGTTAAAATCACTTTAATTTTTTCGGAATTCTTTTTTTTAAAATGAGCTTTTAAGGTAGATCCCTACTCGTGGAATTAATTGGTTAACAGTGCAATTTTTGTCTTGATTTACATTGATAGACACTTTATCTACTTCAAAAGCACAAAAAGTAGATAGATAATCTATATATTTAATGAGATAGGGTGTGAAACACTCATGTACCCTCTTGTACCAAAAACAAAATCACGACTGTTATAAAGACGGTCTGCATTTTATGTCATAGCACACGGCAAATAAATTCTTTTGAACATAAATCACAAGGATAAGGATAATACTCAATAATTTCAGGCTGCGGTACACATTACTGGTTGAAACTTAGAAAATATTGAAGAATTAATCTCATTTTACTAATAAAGTAACTGAGCTCAAAACTCAAATAAAGCTCTCTACTAGAATAATTATTTTGTTTACCCTGATTTTTTTGTCTTTATTCATGTCAACCGATGCTTGAAATATCTTTTAGGCATGATGAATGTATTGGTCATCTGTCTTTTCACCGAGATATGGGTTAAAACATACAGGTACCCCCATCGCAGTTTAATAGCTAAAGCCTTTTATGTCAACAAAAATATTCATAAATCAGCTAAAAAGTTATATATTCTTTTTAAGAACAATTTTATCAAAATATGTACACCTGTTCCTAGTAATAAACATAAATTTTATTCTCACATTTAATGCTGAATATTTTATATACAAGGGGGGGGGCATGTCCACGACTAATGATACGACTTTCCTGGATGCCTTTTACTACTTACAAAAGATTATAAGCAAGATATACAATGTCTTGCAAGCAAAATTATATCTAAAATTTCATATACAACATCAGGAGCCTGTGTTGATTTTTTTTATTATAACTGCGTACCTTCATTCGTATCACAGGCACTTGTTTCTGCAATAATTTTTTTACCCATAGTATAATAATTATACTATGGGTAAAAAAATTATTGCAGAAACAAGTGCCTGTGATTCGTATGTAGAAAATTTGCCGTCAAAACGGAAGTAGGAAAATCCCATCTGCATATCATACCAATTGTGCACAAATAAAAACAATGAACGAATAGAATTATTTAATGACATAAGAGCAAATTATTTGCTACGTTTTCTGTAAATTGGTATCAGAAATATTGGAGTTGTGCCAATGCAATCAAAACGTATAGTATCAATATAACAACCTAGGTAAAATATATCTGAAATGACTGGCATTCGACCTCGCGCTTGTTTTTATACTGTATAAATCTCGATCCTTGCACAAAGATACCCTCAATCATCTTTATACACCCCTTCAACACTTCTGTAGACATTGTTTACGTTCTTGCTAATGTTATATGAACCATAATATTGAAACCGAAAATGGCTAATTCCGGCTTCCGGTTTACCACGAGTAGGCCCTTACTTTAAGTAATTTGTGGTTTCCTTTTTTTCATATATCATTTGGCCTCTTGAATTAACTACAAAAATATAAAGAGCTATTGGCACTAGTGGGTGTACAACCTTGTCAGTGCGGGTGCAGCTAACGAGTACCAAATTTTGCTATTATAATTTCAATTACTATTTTTATGATTATTATTAAATATTTAGATTATAAAATTCATTTAAAAAAAAAGACTTTTCCAAGAAATTGAATTTGAATTAAAACTGTGGGTCTGTCCTGTAATTGTTCAATAGCCCTTTTACTTTCGTCGGAAACTTTTGACATTTTTAATAAATCAAGTTTATAAATGTGGAAAACCTCTACTCTTTCGAGAACAATTAGTTTACTAGTCTTTGATTTTAATCAAATTATTGGAATTTAAAATGTTTTCATTATATTTCAAATTTAAATATGTTTCCTTGATATGGATAATATGAACAATATCTTGTTTTACTTTTTATTATGAATTAAACATTTTAAACCATAATACTACTTTTTTACACAGAGTTTTTTAATGTTTGAAATTAAAATTATGTGAGGTCAATTTAAAAAGTTCTTGAGATATGTTGCAAGGAATGAACTTTCATTGATTGAATGTTGTTTTACGTCCCATTTCAGAATTTTTCACTCATATGGAGACGTCACCATATACCGGTGAAGGACTTCAAATTTTGACCTTTACTCGGCACCCAGAGCCATTGAGTAGTGAGGGATCTCTATCGTGCCTACGCCTGCCGTATCACGGGGCCTATGTTTTTTAAGTCTCAAATCTCAAACCAAGGATGCGTAACTTTCACTTTAAAGTGCCAAGCACATGGCGATGGAACAGCTGCTACCCATTTCTTATCGACTTAAGTTAGTCGCACCCAAGATTCAAACTCGCCCGCTTTACTGACTGAGCTACCGTGAATGGTGAATGATATTTCCTTATTGCACGACCTTTAGCTTTTTGGAATATTATATTAACTTTATTACAAAAATAATACTTGCAGAATGGTGTTACAAAACGTAAAAAAAATAATTCTCTGAATAACATTGTTTGATTGAAAAAAAATTGTCTCCGAATTTCGTCTGCATCACAATAGATTATGCACATTTTATTTAATTAATAAGATCCCACATTTTCAAGTCTTATAAATAATGATGAAGAGAATAGGACTTGTTACAAATATAATTTTTTTTGTAAAAGTATACTTGTAATAAGCAGATAAAATTAAGCTCAGTATTTTTGGACCCTATGAAAATTTAAGTTCAGATTTACTCTTTCAAAGTGCTAAACTTAGCTTCGATGTTCATGCAGAAATGAAAAACCTCTTCAACTAACCTCTATATGCCTGACATCCCTAAAGCTTTGCATTATACACCCTTTTACTAGCTCATATCAAGGGACGTGCGGTAGTTCCACCACTATCCGAGGACTTCATTG